AAAAAGTTTTATAAAAAGTTGTAAATGATTTAACTGGTCTAATAGATAAAAAATGTTTTAACTAATCAAATTATAATATAATAATTGTGTTCTTATAGCTAAAATAAAATTTAATAATTTTATATTAATTAAAATAAAATATGAGTTATTATTTAAGATAAAATATTATTTAATGAAACGAATTTAAAATAAAATTTAATTGGTTATAATTAAATGAAAATAAAATATGAGTAATTAGTTTTAATGACGAAATTAACTTAAACTAATTTTGTTTAATTATAATTTTATTATTGATATAATCAATAATAATATTATTATTTATTATAATTAGTTTTTAATATTTTTATTAATATTGAATTTATATATTACTATTATTAATTTTTTTATCACTTATTATTATTATATTATCATTATTATTATTATATTATATGTAATATAATCAATTTATATATTTTTAGTCTAATTTGTTCAATTTGATCTTTATTTTGTTTTCGTATTCAATCAGATTTCAATTTTTGTTAATTTTCTTTAATTTAGTAATTTTTACTAACAGTCTAAATAATTAATAGTAAAGTGTAAAGCATGATCAATTACTATTACATGACACTTCATCTTCTTGCACAATAAAACATACATTACCTTGAAGCTAGAATTTCTAAAAGAAATTATTAGTGATTGGAAATATATATAATTATTGAAATGTTTTTTCAAATGTATCCATGTATAGGAATTATGATTTTTATTTCACAAACACCTTTTTTCAAAATTTAACGCATAAAGATAAATGTAAATAAATGTGCTTAATTTTAGCAATTGTTAAATTTTTGTTAACTAATTAAAAATCACCCCAAATAATTTTTTTACTATAAACTTTTTATATTGTGATTTGTTTTCAATTAAATTATAAATGTGATATTTAGAGTCTAATGAAACAATGACAGCACATATAGGGTAAAACAAATTTATAGTCAGTTATTAGAAAAGTCAACAAGCTTATATATGATCCAAATAAAACATGACTTTCTCTCCCCATATTTTAAGTTCAACGTATTTTCTTATAAAAAAAAATATTAACAAACTTTTATTTATCAAGACCATTGTAATATTTCTTTTTCAAATTAAATGGTTGAAAGACATACAAAGTACAGAAACAAAGCAAACATTCTTTATTACTAATTACAGGCATAAGGTATCCAATGAAGCATCACATATATGTAGTGTTATGAATACCAACCCCAGAACTTCATGCATACCAATATTGACATGAGGTAATATAGGATTCGCATCATATAAATGACACCTTATAACGTAGTTCCCAACCAATTCTTTCATGCATTGTGATGCATGTATTCAACTTAGTACTTAGTAATAGTATCAACGTACACATACATATAACATATCAAAGAAAATATCTTTTTAACAATTTTTTTTTATAATTTTTTTACCACAATCTATATGATAATTTGTGATTGATCCGTTTCAAATATACAAACCAATCAAATAATAACACAGTCTATTGTGAAAAATTTGTTAAAAAAAAGTATATATAATAGAATGATCCAACGTATCAAACTTATCAACTGCATCACTATACAACAATTATACAACAACTTAGTACTTAGTAATAGTACCAACGTACACATACATATGACATATCAAACATATCAACTGCAACACTACACAACAATTATACAACCATATATATATATATATATATATATATATATTTATATCAGATATATCAGATATAAATGTATATATAAGATGTAATCCTTGATGTTCTAAGCATTTCCTCCGGGACCAGATTGACCAAAGTCCTTGCGAGGGATGTCATGATGACTGACTGTGCGTTCGCCTGGTCCACCTTTTCCAGGACTTTCATGGATAACATCACTATAGCTGTTCAGAGGGATTTGATGTTCAACATTATTACCATTGCTGTGTTCTTGCATGTTATTGTCCACCAAACTCATCTTATTCATAGCCATACAACAACTTGCAACCATCAGTGCAATTACTACCACAACTCTCATTCTCATATTTCTTCCTCACTCTCTGCATAATTAGTTACTTTAATTAGCCACACACAAAAAAAGTACGAAAGTTCATGACATAAAAGCGTGTATATTTATACACACACACACACACTCTCTATCCGCATGCATGTTAAATATGATGAGGGAAATAAATAAATTGTTGTAAACAACAGCACAGTGCGTATGATTTTAAATGAAGAAGACGAAGAGAGAAATAATGATCAGTGAGTATAAGCTTAGGCATAAAACTAATTGTATTTTTGATTTTGGAAAAACAAGATGTGTATTAGTTTAGTAAACGCACCAGATATAGGTGGATGCTAGGGCTATATTTGCCTTTGAGATTTGTATGATCTAACATGAAGAAAGAAGAAGGTTGGAGCTACTTAAATAGGGCATAGCTAAGCACGGAATGATAATGGTAATATAGTGGTGGGGTTGTCTCAAATGACGTGTGAGGCAATATTAAGTGCGATGCCCATTGAAATTGGTGACCAAACAAATAAAATGATGACATGTTTTGTCCATATTTCTATGTGGTCTAAATAGAGAAATTCCACCTAATGCTAGGGCATTCGCAATATAGGTTATAGTATCTAATTTGGTATGATGTTTTTTTTTTCGTTTTAATGGTATGCCCAACTTGCTTGGATTGTGGGAAACACAATGAGGTGAAGAATCATATCAAATCTACCACAAGGAAAGAAAAAGTGGAGTAGAATTTAAACTGTTATGCTTTGAAACAGTGTAAGAAATGTCTATTTAGAAAAATTAATTTGAACAAATATATGTTTGGAATTAGTGTCTAAAATGGTTATTAATTAATTAATTAAAACTCAATTTAGATATTAATTTTTTGACAGTCAAAATTTTGATATCTAATATTATTGATCAATAGAATATAATTCACAAAATAATTATATATATTTCATTATAAAAATTATATTAAAAATTAATAATTTTAAATTTATAAATTGGTATATAAATTAATCACTATAATAACTAATTATGTTATTTTTCTTTAAAATTGCTTGTTATTTAAGAATTTTTTTTATTTGTAGAGAGTTCCCCATATCAATCACTCCACACAATCCAAAGACATGTTAAAAGTAAGTCTGATTTATATATACTAGAAATTTTAAAATTAGGTTATTGAATGTAATATTTCTCATTAAATTAGTCGTTTAAGAAACCATTGTCATGCTCAAAAAGTTTAGAAGTTTGAAAAAAGGACTCCAAGAGATGATTATCAGTGATGAATTCTTACAAAGAATATAATGTGGATAATGCATAATTTGTGAAAGAAACCTTTTAGAATGATAGTTGATGGATGAAGGTTGATTATCTAGTTGTTTTTACTGCCCCTATTTTTTATGTTCTCAGGAAAGCAAATACAGATATATATGGTTACTATCTTCATTTAGTTTATGAAATGTGGGATTCAATAATTGAAAATGTGAAAAGTCTACCAAGATGAAAGAGAGGTAGAAGTTGATCATTCATCTTTTCTTGAGACAGTAAACTCAATAATAATTGATTGTTGGACTAAGAGTAACACATATCTTCATTTTCTTGCTCATTCTTTAAATTCAGAGTAATTATATTATTAATTTATTTTATTATTACATTTTTTTTGTATGTCTTCTTTATAATTATAATATTATTTAATTTATGTTTATGTATTTTTAATATTGTAGATATTATAATCATGAATGATTTTCACAAATACGAGTTTTCACATCATATCTCATATCAAGAAATGTTTTATGAGGTACTTGATGATATTGATGTAAGGAGATAAGTAAATATAGAGTTTGCAAACTTTTTGTGAAAGAGAAGATTTTGCATATGCAGACTTTTTAAAGGATAGAAGTAAAATAAATGTAAAATCATAGTGAATTGTTCACGGATCTCATGCACCAACACTTCAAACGAGATAGCTCTTAAATTACTTAGACAACTTTGTTTTTCTTCTTGTTGTGAAAGGAATTGAAGTATCTATTTTTTTATACATTGTTTGAAAATAAATAAAATGACACTTAAAAGGACAAAAAGATTTAGTATTTATCCATAGTAATTTTCATCTCAATAAACTCCTCAAAATATAATGAAAGGAAACTAAATTGTGGGATATTGCATGTTATGACTTTTTAAAGAAATCTTTACATTGTTAGTTTATCTCTTGCTGAACCAAAATTAGAGATTGTATTTTTCAATAAAGATTTACAAATATGAAAGTTAAATATATGCTTCCATAAGCTTTTCTTTTATTAGATTTTTTTTATAAATGTTTTTTTTGTATTATCATGTATAATTGGTATCTTTTAATATATATCGTCGTGTTCGTGTTCTATAATTTTACAATTTAGCCGCATTTTTGTGTCCATGTCCATGTCCTATTCGTGTTTGTGCTTGCTACGGCTGGTTTTAACTTTTACAGAGTTTTTTTTTTTTCGTTCTGTGATGGACTGTTAGCCAAATTACATGGTTTCAAAACTCCAAAATAGTGCATAAGATAATGTAATAAGCACGGCTTTAGTCAAAATAAGACTCGTCATCTTAAAAGTGAGTGAATTCATTTTTCCAGAAAAGCAGATATTTTTGGAAATTAATTAACTGAAGCACAAAATGCTCCATAATTAAGGACACGACACGTGCATGTACAAACGTCCATGTTTAAACCACACATATGTTGTTGGTAGAAAATGGAAAATTCTTGTTGGTCTCTAAAATTGCTAAGATACAATGCTAAAGATGTAAGTGTCTCTATTGACGTCAAAGTAATGGTTTTTTTCACATTTCAATATCCTTCACCCTTTCTATATATTCCAAGTTTCTAAATTAACTTTCGTACCCTGTGGTTGTCTTTAAATATAGCACGTTTCTGATCTTTCTCTGAATCATTCCACATTCAATTACATCGATCAAATATCATAGCAAAAGCTCTCAAACGTGTTGAGTAAAATGGAAAATCTTACCAAGCAGGCTTTGATTTGCAGTTTATTAACAGCACTTGTTTTGTCATCATGCCCAATAACAATGTCTGAAAATGGTGAGCTTTTCTTTTTCTGGTTTAATTACTTTCTCGTTCTTAATTGCATGAATGCATGCATGCATGCGTCAACAAATTGAAACGAATTGAAAGACACTTAACATCACGTACATACATAAAACACACATTGTTTCTGGGTTTCTGATAGATTGAACTTATTTCTAGGGTTACCAAAATATAGGGCAGAATGTTAAAAAGTTTTTAGACTTATCATTCATATCATTGAGAGGAGAGAAAGGTCTACATTGGCCCCACCAGCGCCCTTCTTACATAAACATAAAAGAAACATTATAAAAACTTAGCAATTTCTTCTCATAAGATTAAACCTGTTTTAGATCTTTTATGGTAAGATTTTTTAACGGTGATTTATTGTTTGGTAGCACATTCAGAGGACGAGTATACTTATGATATAAATAGCAAGACAGGACCAGATCACTGGGGAGAACTAAAACCTGAATGGAACCTATGCAAGAAGGGATCCATGCAATCCCCAATTGATTTCTCCAATGATAAGGTTAAAAAACTAACTAATTTGGAAGAACTTCAAATCAACTATAAACCATCCAAAGCAATTATTAAAAATAGGGGAACTGATATCAAGGTTAGTCAATACCAGAAATATTTAATTATATTTGCTATTGAATTATTATCTAATTAAGTATTTCATAATTTCTTTTGGTTTACCAATTTTGTTTGAAAGTAATTTTTTGTGAATAGGTGGAATGGAAAGGGAAGAAAAGCAACATAAAAATTAATGGAACTAAGTATACACTTTTACAGTCTCATTGGCATTCTCCCTCTGAACATGCCATAGATGGCACAAGGTATATACTTAATATATATTCTGATATATGTCCAAATATCAAGGTATATTACATAAACTAAAATTCTAGTTTTGATTAGAAAAACAGCATAAAAAATGAATTTGACACTGTGCATGTAAGTTTTATTCCTTCAAACACTCACCAGAAAGATTTATTTACCCTCATAAATTAATTAAACCATAAAAATATAAAAAATTTAAGTATTTTAACTGAATACACACCATTACTTTCAGGTTGGATCTAGAGTTGCACATGGTGCACCAAAGTCCATCAGGACAACTTGCAGTGGTTGGAATAATGTACAGAGCTGGAATAGCAGATCCTTTCTTGTCATCGGTACATTGATTAAAGATGTCATAATGTGTGGATGTCTGTGTTTATGAGTAAACCCTAAATTTCTTATATATACTTTTGCACATCTTTTCTAGTTAAAGGAAGTCTTAGATGCCCTTTCTGATAAAACTGGAGCAGAAAGAGAAGTGGATGAACTGGATCCTAATGTGGTTATGGAACGCGAAAGCGCAGCATTTTATTACAGATATATTGGTTCTCTGACTTCTCCTCCATGCTCGGAGAATGTTATTTGGACCGTCTTCAGAGAGGTCAATTTGCTAACTAATTCATCATTCATCATTTAGCAGTATTTCCAAAATTTATGCTATGATTTTCCTTCAAATATATATATATATATATATATATACTCAAATGAATCTTTGTTATTCATCAGGTGAGATCAGTTTCTCAGGACCAAATCAAATTGCTTCAAGAGGCCGTTGAAGATGTAAGTAACTATACTTTTTATATATATACATTTTAGAATTCAAATATAAGTTTAAGTCTTATACAAAGTAAAAATGATAAAATTATGTGTATCGTATAAACAATAAATACATTTGTCTTGCGGTTTTGAATTGAAATTAACATTAATATTTTATATGTGAATTGGACATGGTATATTTTTGATGAACATGTTAATTATGTTAAGATAAATCAAATATTCGGTTAATTATAATTTAAGTATTATTATAATTTATATAAATATTATTTCTTTAATAGACGAAGAATCACACTAATCTCTTCACTAATACGTTAGAATTTTTGTACAGGTCGATTCATCTTTAATATCATAAATAATAGTTAGTCTTTATATCAATGAATTTGTTCAAACTCAACAGTTTTTACAGGATGGTTAATTATGCTTTAAACTTTACTTGCACTTTAATTTGCAGCATGCAAGTTCCAATGCACGACCACTGCAGAAATTGAACAACCGCTTAGTGCAGTTCAATGATCCCGGAGTTAAAGATTAGTGTGTTTCAAGGCATTGACGAGGACAACTATATTATTGATCAGATTTTGATTTCAAATTTTGGTGGGCGAGTGATTTTTCTCATGCACTTGGTCTGTTGTTATTTTCTGATGTTTATTTCATGTAATTTAATTTTAATTTTGTTCCTGTGCATTAAAATAAATTCGGTTTTTCATCCTTATCGGAATCACCGGAATCAGACATATGTACATGATGTTCTTTGATGTATATTATTAGGACCAAGAGTTTGGCAGTGCTTACATTATAATTTGAAAAGGTGAAGAACATTTATCTTTTTATTCTTATTCTGATTAATTACCACAAATTATACTGATATAACTCATGTTGATGGTTATGATATCAATATTTTTCAATAAAATATTATTTCTAATAATCCAACTATTAATAAGGTCTAATTAATGTTATATATACTTTTTAAAACAATCAAAATCGGCTGTAAGTCAAGTTCATTTCTTAAATTTATGCGCATAACGTTGGGCTTAGTGAAGGCCGGTCTATTTCTTGTTGTGACTGTAAAATGCTTTTACATTCTGTACCCCGTAATTTCTTTACACACTCAACAAATTTTTGAAAATCACTGTTTTGCCCTCTAAAGAATTGACTTCCGCGATGTATGTATAGGAAATTTTCCGCAACAGGCTTTTCAAAATTTCCAGAATAAGATTTTGGGAACGAAATTTCTAAAACAGAATTTCTAGAATTAAATTTTTGAAACGCATGAAACACATTCTGCAAAAGATTTTCTAAAACAAATTTTCTGAAACGTATATAATGTCATCCAGAGTAATATGATGCAGTAGTGAAGGTATTTGAGTTTTTTTCTAGGTTTAATACCTATTTTGGTCCCTACTTTTATGGGTTTGATTCAAAATGATCCTACCTTTCAAAAAAGTTCAGTAAGACCCCGTAATTTGTTAAAAAATGTTCAGTTTGGTCCTTTTCGCTCACACCGTTAAAAATCTAACGGTGCAAATGTCACCTTGGCCCAACCTTATTGAGTTGTCAAGTTTGATGTGTAAATATTAAAAAAAAATTAAAATGACACATCAGCTTCCGCCTCCACCAGCTTCCCAAGCACGCCTCTCCCTCCCACTCTGATTCCGCCGGCTCCCACCTCCAGTTCCACTCCGACTCCGATGAAGAGGGATACAAATATCAGAGCAAAACCCTTTTATTTTTCACTCTCACACGCCCTAATCTCTTTGTGCATAGATTCTCTAGAAACCCCAAATCCCAAAAACTCAGAAATTTTTGAACCCCAAATCTCAGAAACTCAGTCTTCGCTGGAAAATGGAGAATAAGCTTTATTTGAACCGAAACCTCGCCGAAGAAGATGCGTGCTTATTCGATTTCTAGGGTTTCGATTTCTTAACATTTTTCATAGTGCTTTTAATGTCTCAGTAATTAGTGCAGTTTCTTTTGATGTTTCGACTCATTCATGAGATGTACTTTAATAAACACAAATGTACAGGTGAACTCAAAATTGCAAAAATAACAATGTACAAGTGAAGTAAAAATTGCCAAAGCTACATGTTCACAAATTCAAGCTTCAACAAAAAAGCTGTAACAGTTTAAAACCAAAAAAAAGGTAGAAAGAGAAAAAGGTAGAAAGAGCAATCGACAATTTAATTCCATGTTAGTAGGACTTGCAAGCAACAGTTATGTAACCCTTGCTTTTTATTGTGGGGAGGAGAGGGAGAGGGGAGGAAGAAGGAGACGACGACCTCTAATGTCACGTGGGAAAAAACCTAAATTCACAGTGAAGGTGGAAGATGAAGTTTTAATTTTTTTTTAATATTTACACAGTGTAACATCACGTATTCATCAAACTTGACAACTCAATAAGGTTGTGCTACGGTGGCATTTGCACCGTTAGATTTTTAACGGTGTGAGCGAAAAGGACCAGACTGAACATTTTTTAACAAATTACGGGGTCTTACTGAACTTTTTTGAAAGGTAGGATCATTTTGAACCAAACCCATAAAAGTAGGAACCAAAATAGGTATTAAACCTTTTTTCTATTATTGTGGAAATGCAATTAGTAATTGTTGGGGGAAGAAAAAGCAACAGCCGTGTAAAATGGCATCTGCTTTTCTAGTGTCCTCCAAAGACTAAGTGCTCAGGTGATGATGATTCATCTCTGTTCAACGACAAAGATTGGTGACATAACTGAAGGCCAATTCAGAAATGACAGCAAAATCTTTTCATTATTTACTTTACAAACCAAAGCAATTCCTTGCATATGTAGCTGTTTCAATGTCTATTACTATTTAATAAGTACAAACAAGAGAGGCAAGTAGCAGAACTCATGAGGTAATATAACAGATATAACTTTTCTCACATTTCACAATTAGCAGCTTAGCACATATTTTGGTTAAACCATTTTTGCAAGGACTTTCATGATATCATCCATACTTGGCCTATGCAGAGGATCATCTGCCACACAATCCTTTGCCAGAAAAGATAAACATAAAGCCTCTGGAAGAGAGTAATCCTTCAGATTAGGATCCATGAAACTCCATAACCCTTCAAAACAACCACCTTCACTGGCCTCCCCCAACAAGAATCCCAGGGAATCTTTCATTGCTTTTCCATCAAAATTCTCCCTTCCTGAGATCAGCTCAAGCAATACAACCCCAAATGCAAAAATGTCAACTTTTTCAGAAACTGACCCATGTGAGAGGAACTCTGGTGCCACCAATCCTTTGGGAATCTCGACACCATTATTGCTTTTGCTGAGTGTGGCACTGGCAGCCAATGCCCTTCCAACATCTGCCAGTTTACCCCTACAGTCAGCTGTTATGAATATGTTTCTGCTACTGACATTCATGTGAGCATAGGAAGGAAAAGAACAGCAATGTAAATAGTAGAGACATGTCGCAATATCAAAGGCAATTTGTGTCCTTTTGTACCAGTTTAGAGGATTGCATCGATCAGATAAGCAGTCCCTCAAGCATCCATTCTTAGGCAACTCAAACACTAAATAAGACCATGAATCATTGCTCTCACCATAACAAACACCAAGCAAGTTCACAATATTAATGTGGTTGATCTTAGAATGTAAATCAATCACCTTTCGTGTATCTTCCAACCTCATCCTCTTCACCATCACCTCAACATCATTGACTCTGCCCTTATATACAAAGTCACCTTCGCTACTGATGTTGTTTTCTTGACTGAAATTCTTGGTTCCCTTCTGGAGCTCCTCTATGGTGTAATTGAGTAAGTAGTACTTTATTCCAACAAGAAGATCCGGGGACAGGCACCAAGTTGTATTGCTTTTACCCGTTTGAGTGGATATCTGAGAGCTTCTAGTTGGCGACCACAAAGTGAGGGAGTTGGTCGGACTGAAGGAATGAACAACTTCAATTTTTCTCAATCTCTTTATGTAAAATCCACTAGCAAGCAATGTTATGAGCAGCAAAAATCCGATAACACACCCTGCAATGTACAAATGGGATGGTTTTATGTATTGTTGTGACTTGTTCACTGGATTTGTAGGAAGAAAACCTGGAGGTGGAGAAGGAGAGTCAGGAAGATCAAGTATTCTGATTGGACCATCCTCTAATGGAACTAGAACAACTGTGTTAGGATAAACAGTTGACTTGGAATTCAAGTTATTGACTGCACAAAACTCTCCTGGTGAGATTTGAAATTTTTGACTCACTTTGTCAGGATCATCTTCTGCTATAAGAGGGTACGTGACAAGGTACTTCACCTTCTTGCTCCAGGTGGAATTCTCACTGTCAGGACAAACACACATGAGAGGTACATGAAGCTCAGAACCAGCTTCTGGTTCATTACCTTGTGAGAGGTTTTCCTCAGCCAGTGTGAGACGACTTAGCAGCCCTTCAAAAACACCACAAGCAACCTCGGAAAAAGTTGTGTTGTCAAGGACTCTATAGCTTAAACTGGTTTGATAATACGTTCCAGAGCAGGTACAATTAACAGGAATAAGCACCTCCTTACCTTGTCTGAGTACAAGGGACAAAGAGGAAGATACGAGGTTGTTCTTTAGAAGCACCTCATCAGAGCTCTTGTTGAAGAGCTTTGAGACACTAGAAATGGTGTTGAAATTTTTGTTAGCTCTATACACCACGAATGTTTCGCACGAATCCTGCGTTGACTTGCAGCTGTACCTTGTTCCTAGCCCAATTTCATTTGAAGTACAATTGTTTTCGTTGTAAGCAGAGCACAGACCTAAGCAAATCCAAGCAACAAACCACAGATAAAGCATAATTTTGTGGACAAGTACAAGACTTCCCATGAAGAGATTTCTCAGTCGTCACTGGTATAATGTTACAAAAGAAAAATGCAGTGGAACAAAAGAAGACATGCAAAATCAAAGTGATAATATATTAGATCACTCTTGAGCTTGATTCATTAAGGGTATTCTTATGACTATGATCAATGAATGAATTACTTGGCTAGCCTCCAAATGAATATGACATTAGAGTTTGTCAACATGCGTGGTCAAATGCATAAATGTGGAAGAAGCCGGCAGAAAAATCAAATGGCTACTTCAGACTAAACTTTAATATTTTGTGTAGTTGTTTCATGTTCTTTGTTCTATTCCTTTCTACTTGTTTCTTACCAAACGTATTCAATATCTTATGTGTTGTTTGTCACTATGTCAGAAACTTGGCCCTTCCTCTCATTCACACACGTTGCAGATTATCAATCAGCCAATCAATAATACTTTAAATATGCCAAACCAAAACCCAATTGCCAGAAAAATACTAACTGCACAGTGATTTTATTCTTATCAGATCAACTAAAAATTGCACAACATTATAAATACAGGTTATGATATCTCTTTATGATGGAAAGTATTGAAATAATTACTGGCCTAAATATATTTGGTTGGAAGTAGTTCAGTGCATGTCTCATTAATTGATTTTAATGGATTGAGTTAGTTTTTAAACGTATTTATTTATAATATTTATTTTAATGATTAATGATATAGTGTCAATTTTCAGATTTTAATATTAACTTTTTCTATCGTCAATGG